AGAAACTCTACAACAAATCTCAACAAACGTCACCAGTAGAGAAACTCTACAACAATACTCAGATGTTACCAGTAGAGAAACTCTAAAAACAAAACTCGTGAGGTTACCAATAGAGAAACCCCTAGTCAACCTACAACAAAACTCCACCAAAGTTACCAATAGAGAAACCCCTAGTCAAACTACAACAAAACTCCACCAAAGTTACCAATAGAGAAACTCCTAGTCAAACTACAACAAAACTCCACCAAAGTTACCAATAGAGAAACTCCTAGTCAAACTACAACAAAACTCCACCAAAGTTTCCAATAGAGAGACTCCTAGTCAAACTACAACAAAACTCCACCAAAGTTACCAATAGAGAGACTCCTAGTCAAGCTACAACAAAACTCCACCAAAGTTACCAATAGAGAGAATCCTAGTCAAACTACAACAAAACTCCACAAAGTTACCAGTAGATAAACTCCTCAGCCGTTCTCCTGACGACCTGGCCCAGTGCCGCCTCCTGTGGGCTCAGACGTCTGCTCAGGTTCACGGAGAACTGCTGGTTCAGGAACTCCACACAGAACTGGGAGTCGCTCATCACGTGCTCGTTGTACTGGATCCACGGGATCTTGCCCTTGGGACCCAACTTACGATCGAATTTGTTCTGTCAGATGAAGGGAAAAAAACAGTTAAACACAATACAAATATGTGAGGCATCGTGGTGAAATCAGGCGCTTGTCAAAATAAGTAAATTGAAAAAACTGGCATTTTATTAAGTTCGGCAATTTTTATCGATTTTTCTTTTCTTTTCTTTTTGTGTGTGTGGCTCAACACCATCGTTGTCCAATTAAGAACACATTTCCGGGTGGATTTTATTGGAAAAACCTTGATTGAAGGCACAAATAATGTAATTTTTCAGTTTCCACGAACTGTCTAGCTGTGGAAATATCCAAACTTTGGCGCCCTTTTCTTGTAACTTGTAACTTGTACGTTTGAAACCAGGCGACCCCACCTTATTCACTCTCAAATATCTTGACTTCTATTAAAAATAGATGGATATTTTTTTTCACCGATGGCAAGACAACTAAACAAGCTTTAATATGACACCAATAACTCCTGACCACGAGATAAGACCACTTAACACTAACCACGTGTCGTGAGCACTAACCACGTGTCGTGAGCACTAACCACGTGACTAGACCACTAACCACGTGTCGTGAGCACTAACGACGTGACTGATCACTAACCACGTGTCGTGAGCACTAACCACGTGGCTGATCACTAACCACGTGTCGTGAGCACTAACCACGTGGCTGATCACTAACCACGTGACTGATCACTAACCACGTGACACGACCACTAACCACGTAAGGGATGCCGGCCGCTCGGAGATAAGTCTCCAGCTTGATGACAAACGGCGACACACTGGGTACTGCCGGGGCCGGGCCGAACTGGTGGAGGATTACTGTGTCTGTGGGTGGGTCGGGGAGCTTGTAGCTGGGAAGAGAGAGGGGGGA